TACCGCCTAGCATATTTGGGTGCTGGCCTACCCCTTCGGTCTCTTTCAACCGGATATGGGGACTATTTCACCCCTACCACTACCACATAATACCCTCCGTTCTGTGTGGCTACTACGCCGCCACTGCCGCTCCAACGGCTGTTCCGATGCCGCCATGTCGAACAATTACCGTCGCCGCCGCCATTCGTACAACTCCTCTCCCATTGCTCCGGTCGACGTCCACCACTCCGCGGGAAGCTGTTGGGTGCGTTTGGCGTGGGTGTGTGTCACATGTATGTGTGTATTGTGTTGTTGTTCGTGTGTTGGTGTGTGTTTGCTTAACCGGGAACCAAAAGAGAACCCACCACCACCTCCTACCGCCGCCGGCCACTCTTTTTGGTGGTTGTATTGGACTTTTCTTATTCTTTTTGGTGCTTGTGTGTGCTTGTGTGTTGTAGGAAATTGTATGTGTGTTGGATTATTGGAATTATTATTCAAACCGCCGCCGTGTGCGGGTGGCTGCCGCCTTCTGCCGCCATGGACCGCCGCCGACCGCCACTGCCCGAGGTGGCAGTGGGTGGTGCCCAATCTATTAATTATATATTTATTTAATTAGATAATCATTTAACTTTAGAAGTTGGAAACCCTAATTAGGGTTTAGAAAACCCTAATATCAAGAAACCCTAGTTTTTGGAGTTGGTCGGGACCCGCGTTAAAGCTATTAATTAAACTTAAAATAATACTTAATAATTCTCTACAATTAACTTAATGCAATATTGGAATTAATGGATTAAGCCCTTAAGGGGTTAAGTGTGGAACACTAACCCTAATTATCATTTTATGTGAAAAACCCTAGAGTCGAGGAGCTCTATTTGGACAATGACCGGGCGCGTAATTGGGCTGTTGATTTGATTATTATTTCACCCGAGAACGACTAAGCCAAACCGTAATTAGTCATACCCTTAGGTGATTAAGTCCTTAATGGGTTAATTGGTATTACTTAACCCTAATCATCATTTTATGTGAAACCCGAATCGTCATTTCATGTGAGGTGGTCACTGTTGCAAGTGACTATAACCTGTGATCGGTTATTGACTCAAGTATCATCCTGTAGGTGTTTGGAAGTGAGTTGAAGCTGGTAGAGTCCTTCATTGCTACAGTGGTTATCTACACGCATATCGAGCCATCGAGGTGAGTTTCGCCTCACTGTACCCGTGGGTCGAAGGCACCAATGCCGACCCACTAGTTTTGGTTATCTGCTAGGAGAGGGATGCCCTAGGTACTGTATATAGTCATGTAGGATAGATTGAGGACTCTTGATCTAGGCTCTTTTACCTGTTCCTTGTTTGGTTGTGGTTCTAGAGTAGGATCACCTGTCCGAGTGACTATCTCACCTCTGAGTATATAAGGTCATGCATTCCTTGGATTGTTGATATTTAGTATGCTGATATGCTGTAGTGATCTGTTAGATCTGTGTTCTGGTATTGAGTATGCTGCTATGCTGTAGTAATCTGTTAGATCTGTGTTCTGCTATGCAAGACAAGGGTCTGGACCTTGGCGGTTATATCTAGAATGCTAGTTGTCTTTGTGATACTTGCATGGAAGACCAGTAGGTGGCTCTTGGCACTTGTTCGTAGGTCTCGGGTTTTTGGACCTGACATGTCAAGGAAAGACCATGATACGACTCATGACATGCTAGTAACTGTAAGACTATGAATGACACATAACAAACTTCATTCTATGTGTGGTATGTGGTATTTGAGAACTCACGAAGCTTTGTGCTTACGGTTTTATGTTTATGGTTTTAGGTACTTCCCGTTTTAAAGGAATTGCCCGACGTGACTGCACAACATCTCTCAGAGTTTCCACATTGATTACTTATGATTTTTACTCTAGTGTGTAAATTATGTAATCACTTTGATTGGTTTTGGAACAACTTATTTGTATGATTTATTGTTTTAAAAATGAAAATTTTACTCTGAATTTTTGGGACTTTACATTTTGGGCAAACGCCATAAAAGTCAATAATTTTATATGTAAATTCGATTTTGACACTGCATTATTTTTTGTCTCAAGTTGTACATTGCGTTTTTAATTTGTTACAATTCTGACCACATGACCGGTAAACTGAGTTGTATGCTGACATGGCATGATGACTTGTCAGTTTTGATTACGTGGCATGTTGACATAACATACTGACGTGTCATAATTATATATATATATATATATATATATATATATATATATATATATATCACAAAAATCATTATATTTTCATTTTTTTTTGAATTTTGACGTTAGGTTTATTTTATTTTTTCAACTTTCACACTCAATTTTTTTATTCCAAATTGAACATCATTTTTTTTCAATTTTGATGATGTGACACTTAATTTTTTTATTCTAAATCCAACATCATTGTTTTGTTCCATTTAAAACCATATTTTTGTATAAATACAATATTTTTTACATTTAAACTTTAAAAGTTTAGTATGTTAAAATAATTGAATAAAATATAATTGAACTTGGGGCAAATTGGTCAAGAAATGTATAAATGATTTCTATTAGTCATTTAATTAAATTTATGTTAGTTCATATAATTTATGTAGTTACTGACGAATGTAAAAAAATTTAGAACGAATATAATGAAAATAAAAAAATTATATAAAAAAATAAATGAAATATTAAAAGTTTCACTAAATAATAAGTGTCCTACTTTGGAAACATACTTAAAATGTCTAGTTGAGAATATAAAAAAGATAATTCAGTTAAGATTATATATTATTTTATAGATAACAAACTAAATATGTATTATGTAAATATGTATTATGTATATTCAATTATGTATATTATAATGGTATTATAACCGTATTTTTTCATGTACTATTAAGATGTTATAATTTTTTCCAATAAATCAAGATTTATATCTACAAGAACCGAACATCATGAATATATAACGGTCCCTTAGTAATTTAAGCACCCCCGGACCCTCGTGTTCCTGAAATCTAGGGATGTTCGTTTGAATGGATCGATTTGATCCAATCCAATTAAGTAAATCTAAATTGATTTCGGTTTTCAAAACATAGATCCAAATTGTCCAAACTAAATTCAAATCCGATCCGATCCAATCAAATTACAATTCGGTTGGATCAGTTTTATAAATCGGTTTTCAAAAATCGGAATAGTTTTTAAAACCACATATAATTAGAATATTATCCAACTTTGTAAAAGAAAAAAATAGCTTAGTTGTGGTTTAAAGTTTATAAACAACTACTAAAAAATATATTAAAGTTTAATATTTTATGGATAAAAAACTTTTGAGAGAAAATACATATTAAGGTTTTTTATTAGGTGAAACTCTTTGAATCTATTTGAAAAAAATAAAAAAATAATAAATAATTATAGATATATATTAAAAATAAATAAATAATAAATTGTTATTTGTTTTTTTTTGGACTATTCGGTTCTTATTTTATAAACCAAAACCAATCTAAAATCCAAATTAATAATTTGATTTTGTAGAAAACCAATCCAAAAATCCAAATATCCAAACCAAATAGTCCAAACCAAATTATCAAATTCGACAATTCAGTTATATTCAAATAATGAACAGCCCTACTGAAATCACATTAGTTTATTTGATTGTGAAGTTGACATCTCAAAACTCATTTTAAAGTTGCATATTTAATGAAAAATACAGTTATAATATAACTAATACATATTTATACATAATATTACAGTTTCATTGTATAAAACATTATATTTATACAAAAAAATATGGTTTCAAAATGAAAAAAAAAATGTATATATACGGCTTCAAATGTAAAAAATTTATTTATATGGTTTCAAATAGAAAATTGTCAACAATGAACAAAATTGGAAAAAAAAATAATGTTTGATTTGAAAAAAGTGAAAACCTAATGTTTTTTGTCTTTTTTTTTTCAATTTTGACATATCAACATGCAATATCAAAATGTCACGTCAGCATACAATTGGGTTGACTGGTGAAGTAGTCAGAATTGTAAAAAATTATAAACAAAATGTTCAATTTGAGACAAAAAAAAAAATACAATGTCAAAATCTAATTTTCATGGAAACTTAGTGATTTTTGTGGCATTTGTTTTTGTTTTTTTTTTTTTTTTTTTGGAAAAGCCCTCATATTTAATAAAATTTTTGTTTGAACATGAACGATAGAGGAATTATAAAACAAAACAAAAAAAGTGGACTAAACATAAAAATTTGACACACGTTAGAGTTTTTTTGAAAAAAACACTTTTAGAAATAGAAACAATGTAAAACCAGAAAATTACGGATATACTATATACTAACAATGCAGGATCAAGAGAATGAAAAAATATAAATGATTTTTCAGGAAAAAAAAATGAAATATCCGGATTATTTCGTCTCTTTCGGAAATGATGGGCATATGAGTAATCAGTTATTAGTTTTTTTTACTTTTAAACCCATTGCGTTTTTTACAAAAAAGAAAGGTTTTATATTTATTTCACGTAGTAACATGATTTAAAAAAATAACTTACGAAATATGATATAAATGTTGAAAATATAGTCATTTGTATTATACTCTTACCATTTTTGGTCATTTTCATGATAACTTGTAGCTAAAAACATTGGAATATTGGATTATAGACTAAAGTAATATTTTCTACAGCAGGATTGAAGAAAAAGGGTCTAAATTATAGGCTTTTGCACAAAATACACATCATCACTTGCAACAGTTTGTTTTCTCATATATTTACATTAAAGAAAAACATACTTCTCCCCGTTTTTCACCATATCTCTACGCCTCTACGACAACCCAGAAGGTGAAAACTATGTCGTTTTTTAGCTTGTCGGATGCACAACTTTTTTTTTTTTTTTTTTTCCAAATCCATAATCAAATTCAATGACATTACTTATTTAGTACACCCCTAATAAGGTTGCACAACATAATAGTATAGGCTATATATAGCAACCAGCCAACACGAAAATCTCAATAGGCATCAGAATAAGAGAGAATGAAATATATCAAATAAAGTTTTGATCTTAACATTTATAAATAATTGAAGCCTACATAAATGTTTCCTACAAGAATACATGATATCAAGAACAATCTTAATATTACAACCCCACAACATAACTGTGATAAAAATAGCATGTTCCTACTCTGTTCGTTGCATGGGTACCATCATATGTTGTTGACCTTGCACCTGTCAAGTTTCAGGAATCTTGTCAAATTATAATTATATACGAATCCTATAAAAAAATCAAGACAAAAAATAATCTCTTTTCTTAAGCTTTTAAAAAAATAACCAAAAACTAAGAAAATTCCCCCACTAACCACCTATTTAACAGGGGGACACGTGGAATGAGCAAAACATGGCACTTAAACTTTACAAATATAAAAATGATTTAAAAATTTTAAAAACTAAAAAAACCTTACTAGAAACGGCTACTTTTGTGTTTTCTCAATTAAAAAAAAAAATCCGATGAGAAGGTTGATGCATGCCCACATAAATAAAAAAATCAATATAAACTTTCTACTTTGGGTTGTACCACAAAGGCACAAAATACAATGTTTCCTCTTTAAAAAGATTCTTTTTCCAGATTTACCTATTGGATTTGACTAAAGATATTTACAGATCCAGTACTAAATTAAAAGATATATATATATATATATATATATATATATATATATATATATATATATATATAAACTAAAGATAGATAGCATAAGAACAAAAATTATCATATCAACAATCTAATCTAATCCAATTAAATAGTACCTGTGACTGTGAGTTTCCATAGTTGAGACCTTGTGTGTATGGATTTTGAATGCCAAACTGTAGAAATAAAAATTAACATAAGACTCAAGTTTAATTCATACATAATAATAAGAGTAAACCTGATTTTTTTGTTTCCATGTAATTAATTATTACCTGTGCATTAAGATTGTCTTTCCTGGAAGATCCTTCGTGGCCCTTTCCAGATCCCTTTGTGTCACCCTTTAAATTAATTACACGTAAACCAAACATTAATTATTTATTAATTAAAATTAAAATAAATTTTATAATTAGCATGTAAACTAACCTCCATCTGTCCAGTAATTTGATCACGAGCATAAAGAAATCCAAACATGAAATCATCAGTAATTAAATTAATAAGTAATGGTTAGTAGGGTGTAATATTCTGAAAATTAGTTACCTCTCTGAATCTGTTCAAGTAGGATTTGAGGGGATCAATGTAATCTTCGAACCCTAAGGTTGCCATTGCCCATAGAAGATCATCGCCATTGATAGTTTTCCTCTTTTCCCTTAGACACTTATCACTTGCCCTGTATCCAATTCCAAAATCCAAATAACGTACATATCTATATAAAATCAGATCAACAATACATGTATAATTAACACGCAGGTTTAGTTCAAAGCTCAAACGTTCGTACTCGCTGGTGATGAAGCTGATAAACTCAGAAACACACTCCTGGACAGTTTCCTTAGCATCCTTTGCGATTTTTCCATTAGCTGGTAGCTCTTTCTTCATAATGCGACTGATATTCGCAATCGGTAAGAACCTGTCTTGCTCCCGAACATTCGAAGACCTTGGACTCAGATCCCCACTCTCATGGCTTCCACCGCCTGGACTCGTGGGGCCCTCCGCCATTCAAAACCCTACCTACAATCCAAAACCAGAACAAAATAATCATCCATCGATCTCAAGTAACACAACCACAAGTCAACAACCACGGCCAATAAGGCAATAAGTCCTCCTTTAAATTAATCCGTAAAAAAACTAGCAAACACCATGTGTGACGCAAAAACAGTGTGTCTGAAATTTGTTAGAAGAAATTGAGGACTTACCAGTTGGAGAGAGAAAATTTCGTAAAGTTTTGGAGGAAATTTGGGCGCGAGAAGCGTGGATGAAGAAGATCGGACGCTGGAGAAGAAGGGTCAAGGGAGAGAGGTGACGATGGAGATGCGAAGGTCTGTTTTATCAACACCGTTGGTTGGTACACTCTGCGTCTTTTAGATGCCAACAGTTGTACGGTGTCTTCAAGCTCTTTGCCAGTTAATTTCAATTACAATCCTCATGCTATGGTAATATGTCATATCAGTCCCTATAACATGGGAAACATATTTACTTCATATATATAATAATAATAGTAATATAGTAAATATGACCAGAAAATATTTGGGGGTTTATCCGTCTCATAATTATTATACAAAGACAAAAAACATACATATTAAGAAAATATTAATTACTAATACTTTTATTAAATGAAATGACAGTTTTACTTATTTATTATATTTAATTTAATAGTAGGTGAACTAATAATAAGAAGTATGTTAGTAAAAGGGGTATTTGTTTTTAAAAAGAGATTATTATTTTGGGATAAAGCAAAAAGGAAATATGGACTATTTTATTAATATGAGACGGAAGAAATAAAATTGTAGAATAAAATCTTAAGGTCGAAGGCTAAAAGTAAAGTGGATTGGATCAAAGTCTTTTCTCTTTGATATATGGTATACATATTGTTAATATTTATGTTGAATAGAATATAATTAAAAAATTAAATTAGTCTTTTGGACGACAAGTCATTCATTGTGAATTCAAACATGAGACAATTCATTTGAAAAGTTTAATTCTAAAAAACATATCAAATGTTTAAGAATAATTATTCTTTTTCTTTTACTTTTTTTAATAAATATTTTATACAAAGTTAATACATAAAATCTATAATAACCACAAATTTACTTTGTAAATCATTCATCTTTAAATTGAATTTAATGGACAACAAACTATATTTTATATTTATTTAGCCCAACAAGGTGGATATTAACCGGGTAAAACGGTATTTAATCATATGTGGCATCCAATATAGCATATAATAAAAAAATATTTAAACATGTTTCCATATGGCATTTGTATAGATGTTCTTCAAACGTTTTAATATTGCGTTTATAATTATTGTTCATGTCTTATTATGATTACAATAAATGAAATTAGGGTTTGCTTGTGAAGATGATGGAGGAAGCAGTGAATATATTTAAACATGTTCACTGGTTGGATAAAACTAAATTATCCAGTTGGTTCGGATATTCAGATTTTTTGATTAGTTTTTTTAAAACTTGAATTATTATTCTGGATTTCATATTGGTTTTTGTTTATAAAACAAGAACCACATAGTAAAAAATCAATAACAATTTGATCTTTATTTAATTATATTATTTATTTTTAATATATATCTTTAATCATTTATAAATGTACTAAATTATTTTTTAATAGATTAGATAAATACATCCAATATAATACATTATTATTATGTATTTCAACTCAATGAAAATTTTGTCAATAAAATATTACATTATAATACATTTTTCTTAGGATTTGTTTATAAATTTTATTTCACAAATAAATAATTTATGTTAGTTTCTTTTATAGATTTTATTAATATTCGAGTTCTATATTTTTTAAATTGTCTTCGTTTTTGAAAACCAAATTGAAAAAACTGATCCAATCGAATAGTAATTTGGTTGGATCGAATCAGATCAGATATGAATTCAGTTTGGACTATTCAGATTTATGTTTTGAAAACTGAAATTAATTTGGATTCATTTGATCGGATCAGATCTTATTGATCCATCTAAACGAACACCTTTAAATATAATGGGAAAAGGGTGTTCGTCTTCGTCCATGATAGCACAAATCCAATAAAAATGATGAAGTTGTAAAAAATGTAACATCCTAAGAACCAATGCTAAAATTTTCATTTTTAAAATAATATAACATCCATGTTTAATAAAGCTACAACCATTTGTCCATAAACCATTATTTTAAAAACATAGTTAATAAAAAGATAATTCGGAAACTCAAATCATAATTTGTTGATATGTGTGTATAGTCTTGTCTACGCAATCCGATAAGTACCTGCAAAATATTTAATCCATAACTGTAAGCATAAAGCTTAGTGACTTCCCCAAAGTATCACATACAAAATAACATAATAACTAGCTACGGGTTATCAGCAACCCTAGGGACTATCAACGGTCCTAGTGGGCTAACAACACGCCATGTGGATTAACAACACAACTCACGGGTTATCAGCAACCCTGAGGACTATCAACAATCACATAGACTCACAACAATCTAGGAGTTATCAACAACTCAATTCACATATTACATAAATCTACAAATAAGACCCAACTGGTCAACATGCATATACCACCACATAGGCAAGTATAGTGAGAAGACTCACCTGAAGTGGCTAAAGTGGCTAAAGTGGCTAAGATGGATTTCTAGTTCTCTGAACTCCTAGAACCATATAAATAATCTTAACTCACAATTAAGATATCACTTAATAACACCCCTTAATACACTTATGTTCGTCTTTTATTTATAAAATACGCTCGTAAGTCAATTCCATAAACCAGATGACTAAATAAATTCATTTAGTTGAAATATATTTATTTCTCTAAAATAAAGATCATAGCATCACCAAAGATATCAATTAATTGTAGCATGAAGCTAAAATGGCCCAACACAATAATCACCATGGGCTAATTCATTTAACTTCAAACAAGCCCACCATGATTAATTACTTAGCCCAACATCTGATCCATTTAAATGAGATAGTCATATAAGGTCAAAGGGGAATACCTCACTTCATCCACATCGCACAACAATTGCACAAGGGATTTTCCAGCGAACAACCTTCTTCCGACGACGCCCCAACTCCTACGGGTTTTCTTCCTCCGGATGCAACAATCATCTTCCACAACATGTAGCATTCCATCAGAGCTCCAAGATTATCCATCTTCCACAACAAGGAATCCCGATTCTCTCTCCCTCTCTCTCTCTCTCTCTCACACACACACACACACACACACTATTACCTCTCTCAGATTCTCTCATCATCTCCTTCCAACTTGTGACATCCCCATTTTTACGGCCAGAAAAGACCAATTTGTTTATGCTTTATTTTAAAAATCAGATTATCATTTTAAAGAAAAGTGTTGCGTAATTTGTTCCCAGAAAAACATGATAAACATATTATCAAAGCATTTCCGGAGAAATGTATTTTGTTTATATTAGAACTTTGGGATGTCATTGTCAATACAGAAACATAAGCATAAACAAACCTTACATTCATTTACACTAATGATCCACGCCTCTTTTAATCTCTCAGTGTATTGTAGCTTCGTATTGACACATGTGATACAAATAAGCTGAGTGGATCAGGTTGGGAAATCTGGTGAGTACATAGGGTTTTCAACCCACAATAATGTAATTATTATGTTTAATCATCAAACAATCAACCCAATTACCCATACCCCTTATCTTCATTATTCTTAAGGATCTACCCTACGAATCATCTATCATTCACTTTTTCATTCCTAAGGATTCTCTTAAGGAATAGGCACGAAGTCCATCGTTGCCTATGGCACAGCTGCCAATGTTATGTATTAGGCACAACTGCTAATATTATCATTTAGGCACAACTGCCTGGATTATGACGTTCTCTATTAGACGCAGATGCCGATATTATCCTTAGACGCAGCTGCCAGCAAGGGCGGAAGTAATTAGTTGGCAGGGGTAGCACGTGCTACCCCTCAATTCCACCATAGAAATATTGATTTATATATATAATTACCAACCTCACTTCAATTATGATATGCTTTTTGATTAACTCAAAGTCAGATTACATTTTCTAATATAAAATAGAAGCCCAATTACTTAGCCCATTAATTTAAATGACAGCCCATTAAATAAAAGAAAAACATATAGGTTTTTGTTTTGTCCAACACCTAAATTACGAAAGGATACAGGGGATAAAAAATTGATATATTTTTTTGATTCATATGATCGTCGTTTTAACTGCCGGCTGCTTCTTGCTTCACCATAACTTTTCTTGGCAAAGCTTATTCACCCATTTCGCTATTGGCTCACTTACGGAATATGAAACAAGTTATATTTAATTTGCCCGTCGCAACCGCAACCGTTGAAAGATGTTTTTCCGCAATGAAACTTTTGAAGACCGACTTACGTAACAAAATGGGTGATGATTTTTTGAATGATGCTTTAATTTGTAGTGTAGAAAAAGAAGCACTTATGGATGTTAAGATTGAACGAGTGATAGAGCGCTTTCGGAAAATGGGTAATCGTAGAGGACAACTTTAAAAAATGTAATTATGTAAGACTTTTGCGCTAGTTTGTTATTTCTAATGAAACCGTAATTAAAAAAAAATTATCTTACTATCTTTTATTGAGATTTTTTTTGTGCTACCCCTTACAAAAATTTCTAGTTCCGCCACTGGCTGCCAGGATTATGACATTCTCTATTAGGCGCAGCTGCCAGGATATTTAGAGTACATCTGGTGAGCACGTAAATCAAAAACACCTACGGGTTATGGCGCAGCTGCCAATATTCATCTATATCATCTTTATTCCCTCATTATTTATCTACCCATGTTCTACCCAACATATTCGTAGATATAAAATACATATACAGTTTAAATCATTTAAAACATGTATAAATCATTCATCCAGCATAGATATCAGGAACACAAATAATATACACACATAGCACGTAATCTATATTAAATATTTCATATCTATGTGTAAGATGAAAGTAACTATGCACTCACATTAGTAGCGTGATGTGATAGAATCTAACTAGAAATGGTCAACGGTTCGTCGTTGTCAGGCTCGGGAAGGGAAACGGCTTCAGCAAACGAGAGAGAATGAAAGTAGAAGGTGTAATGAAAGAATGGGTCTCGATTGCTATTTATAGGCTGATTTTGGCTCTCTTACGTCGTGAGCCTCACATGCTCACGTCGTGAGCTTCCATGAGTCATCCCGTAGACTTCCCAGGTGTTTTCTAGGCTCGATTAGTGTCCGTTTGACTCCTCACGTCGTGAGAAATCATGCTCACGTCATGAGCCTTAAACGTAGACTTTTCATATGCATTCTAGCCATGAAAAGTGGCGTTTTGACTCCTCACGTCGTGAATTTCTATGCTCATGTCATGAGCTAAGTCAAATTAGGGTTTCTGACACGTATCATGCTCTCAGACAACTACATCTTCGGAAGGCCATAACTTTTGCATACGAGCTCCGTTTTTTACATTCTTTATATCCACGCGTAGGTGGAGACATACTCTACAACTTTCATTTAGACCCCTAAGGCTAAAAAGTAGTTTATCATAAACTCACTTTTTACGATTCCAGGTGTCGTGCCGGTTTTGTTGCGAAACTTCGATAGGTCATAACTTCTTCGTTATAACTCGGATTTCGTCGTTCTTTATATGTACGAAAACCTTGTGACATATACTCAAAATTAGTTAAGATTATTTTTTCTAAATAATCCTCTATCAAAAATTCATTTTTGACGCTTATCGTTTCTAAATTGACTAGCCCGAATCTGTGGGCGCTACAATTATCTCCCCCTTAGGATGATTACGTCCCAGAATCATCAACGAAACAGAGCTTCTATAATGACTCCATACGTTATCTTTTCATCCTAGGTAATAAACGTAACTTCTATGTTCATTCGAATCAATATCTAATTGTTGGACTTCTTGACTGTAGGCGGTGCTAAATCTTGCACCTGCTTTTTATCCTATGTTGGACTTTCAATCGTAACCTTCGAGTTACAAAATAGATCCTTATTGGAGACTCCTACTTCTTATTAAATAGACTTATCTTAAGAGAAGTTCTTTACTTCGATTATCGTAACAGACCGATGGGTCATGTTCTAATGACCTCTCATCGTATGATTCAACGCTTAGACTCATGTCCTTTAGAGTCAAATTCCATAATGGAAAATACCTTCATTCATGTTCTAATGTGATATAATCACTTTCTATCATGTAGCACTTATAGGTAAAAGCTTCTTTCTTTAACAACGATCGCGATACTTCTATTGATCGCTCCGATTATCTTTCACTTCAATCTTCTGGCTTAAGTCGGATGCTACATCGATCTTGTTTCCCCGAACCACGTAACATACTCATCTTAGTCGGAATCGATTCAATATGATCTCTAGGGTCGGAATAACAATCATATTCTTAGTCATTGCCGAAACGATGGTAACGACATACATGAATAAAACAAAATCAATTACTAGCTTCTTGGTAACCTTGTGACTTTCCCTGATCCAAGTGCGAGTCATGTGTTTCCGGTAGTATAGGCCTCTACTACCTTTCACACCTACTCATACTCGTCCCAAGTATTGTCTCGCAGTCCCCAAGTTCTTATTTCCTAAAATCACAAAACAATTTAACACATACGAATGTGTCCAAATAATCTTAAAATTTTCCCTAGACTCTACTAGGACTTCTTCCATGCATATCTTCAACATAATTGTGCTTCAAATCAGTTGGTGATGGAAACGCCAGACCATGGGATAACTTTATGGATTATACCAAAAATTCTTTCTTTCTGTCAATCGAAAGTGTACTTCTCCTGTACCAGACGTATTATCTATTTAGACGTATTCTAAAGGCAAGATACCTCTCTTACGATATCTTCCGATAGGTATTATTCACTATCGTAAGCCATCTATTTTCTCTGTCTATCATGGTTCACATCACTTCCTGAACTTCTACCATTGTGATAGGTTCGGGTGCAGGCACAACGACCGATGCATGTCCCATCACATCCTTCGGCTCAGGTTGTCGTCTTCCTCGGATATTTCCTAGTCTGTCTTCACCACGACGTTTTGCACACCCAAGCAGACGTTCGGTGTACCAAGGTGAGAATTTAAGATATGAAAGCTTTATTTACGATAGACGTATAAATATCTTTATTACTTTGAAAGGTTACATGTCAGTTCTAATACCATAATTAAACGTTTAGAAATCTGAACACATAAAATTTTCAGATCCGGTCGGCAATAGACCATAGATCCGAACAAATAACAACATCTTTGTAGCTATAACATAAAACATTTAGCACATAAAAGCATTTTAGGCATCTTTCCTAAAATAAACTAGTGCTTGTGTCAATTCAGGTGTACTACCTAAAATATAATAGACACACTCCTCACGATCATCGCTTAGCATTCTAAGTTTAAGTCTATAAATCCTACAAATTCCTAGTTCGCTTAAACTAATGCTCTGATACCAACTGTGACATCCCCATTTTCACGGCCAGAAAAGACCGATTTGTTTATGCTTTATTTTAAAAATCAGAGTATCATTTTAAAGAAAAGTGTTGCGGAATTTGTTCCCAAAAAAACATGATAAACATATTATCAAAGTATTTTCGAAGAAATGTATTTTGTTTATATTAAAACTTTGGGATGTCATTGTCAATACAGAAACATAAGCATAAACAGACCTTACATTCATTTACACTAATGATCCACATCTCTTTTAATCTCTCAGTGTAATGTAGCTTCGAATCGACACCTGTGATACAAATAAGCTGAGTGGGTCAGGTTAGGAAACCTGGTGAGTACATAGGGTTTTCAACCCACAATAATATTATTATTATGTTTAATCATCAAACAATCAACCCAATTACCCATCCCCATTATCTTCATTATTTTTAAGGATCTACCCTAAAAATCATCTATCATTCACTTCTTCATTCCTAAGGAATAGGCACGAAGTCCATCGTTGCCTACGACACAGCTGCCAATGTTATCTATTAGGCACAATTGCCAATATTATCATTTAGGCACAGCTGCCAGGATTATGACGTTCTCTATTAGGCGCGCCTGCCGATATTATCCTTTAGGCGTAGCTGTCAGGATTATGACATTCTCTATTAGGCGCAGCTGCCGATATTATCCTTTAGGCGCAACTGCCAG